AATTGATTTGCTTTTACCTGAGGCATCTTTTGGATATCTCCAGTAAAAATGCAACAGGTCCCACATTTTTGGGCCTGTCTGGAAGGGCCCTAAAAATGAGCAATTTCTTTTACTTTGAGAGCTGGCATTAGCTGGCAAGTTGTGTGATTGCCTATGTGCACTCTCTCCCTCATGCAGCCCTCACTGTGAGAGATGGGAAGGTTTAAATATTCTCAGCCTGCTTAGATTAGGGTATATTATAACTGCAGGAGAAAAAGTTTAAGCTTCTTCACATCTCCACAAAAAACTTTCCTGGTGTCAATAAAATTTTCTGCTACTAACAGTGGCAGGAAGACAGCAACCTTGTTTACAGAAAAAAATATTATATGCCAGTAGATGGATTTTAACTTATGGTGACCCTTCAAGACCTCCAAGAGCCTCAGTCATCAAATAACCTGCTTAAGCCTAGCAAAGCTGTAGCTTTTTGGATTGAACCAATTTATTTTCAGTGCAGTCTCCCTTTTCCCCTACTTCCTTCCACTGTACTATGCACTATAATATTTTCCAATGAGTCATATCATCTTGTGATATGTCCAAAGTCCAACAGCCTCAGTCTATCCATCTTCACTTGGATCCTGTCTCATTGTATTCAATATATAGCTCCATATGAACCAGAGCCCCATTGATCAGAAGGAATGAATCTTGTTCACCCAAATTATAGTCAGAATCACTTTTCCAGCTCTGTGGACAGCACAGCTGGAGCAGCGGCATGCCCAACAAGTGTGGATGAAGGTTTCCAAAACCTGCATCCACTCTGATTTCATTGTAGAATTTACAGGAGCTATCCAAAGTTCTGAACAGATTTGGAGGACGATTGGGTTCAGCAGCTTTGTTACCTCCTTGGTTAGTCTCCAGCAATCACTCTCATCTTTAGGATCCAGATTACATCTCCAAATCTAAAATTCAACATAACATCCTGAATACATTTTATTTTGGGGATTTTATGCCAATTGCCAACATCAGGTTTAGCAGCTTTCTGCGTTCCTTTATTTCTAAGTGGAAAGTACCATACTGTTGCTGCATTCAAAAATAACTGAATATTTATTTATTTTACTTATTTTATTTACAACTCAGGGAGGCTTCAGGGACAGCTTCATATAGCAGCAGCTGTTCAAATGCTATATTCCTCTATCTTTTGGTTCCATCTCTAAATAGGAGGTGAATAACATCCTCTCCCCAGCTTATTAAGAGGAAAAGACAAGGGAGTTTCATCTTCTTGATGAAGTGTATTGCAAAAGTGCTGAAAGAATAAGGGAGGGGGGGAAGTGGGAGGGAAGCAGAAAGAAGTATTAAACCTTGCTCATTCATGAAAAATTGCCTCTACAGAAATGTAAAAAAAAATGCAGTTAATGGAAATGAAATGTGGGAGCTTCACAGTCTCTCAACTGTTGAATGTGGTTGGATTATGCTGATACTATCAAGTGGGGAAAAGGAGCTGAAGAAGTATGCAAGTGAAGGAAGAATGAAAAGGAGGGAAGAGAAAACAGAACAGGTGCTAATGCAGAAGGCAGAAGTGTCTGATAATTGTTTGCTATATACAGAACAGAGCTCCCGGTGTCTTTGTGAGTTAAAACACTGAGCTGCTGAACTTGCTGGTTGAAAGTTCACAGGTTTGAATCCGAGGAGAGGCGTGAGCTCCTGCTGTTAGCCCCAGCTTCTGCCAACCTAGCAGTTTGAAAACATGCAAATGTGAGTAGATGAATAGTTGCCATTCTGGTGGAAAGGTAACGGTGCTCCATGCACTCATGCTGGCCACATGACCTTGGAGGTGTCTACAGACAATGCCGGCTTTTCGGCTTTGAAATGGATATGAGCACCAACCCCCAGAGTAAGTCACAACTGGACTTAATGTCAGGGGAAAACCTTTACCTTTACCTATATGCAGAACTGGGGGAAGTTACTATATTGGACTACATATCCCAGAATCCCATTACCAAGAATAACCATGGGGTTCCTGGGAGTTCTTATGCCTCAAAGTAACACTAAAGAAATAATGTCAAGTGTAGGAAAAGATCCCATTTCTTCATGGGACATTTAGGTAACTCTGAGGCCCCTTCCACATCTGAATAAAATCCCACATTATCTGCTTTGAACTGGAATATATGGCAGTGTGGACTCAGATAACCCATTTTAAAGCAAATATTGTGGGATTTTCTGCCTTGATATTCTGGGTTATATGGCTGTGTGGAAGGGCTCTTTAATAACTGCCCATACAACCTCTGCACCTCTATCACCACCACTTTACTTGTTGGATACAAGGAACCACCAACAATACATGAATGAATCCGTAGGGTTGTCATTATGCAGGGAACATGAGAGTATAACCCCCTCAAATAAGAATTCGGCCACTCATGAAATGTACCTATACTTCCCAAATTTCAAGCACTGCAGTAACTAAAGACTTCACGTGATCAGCATTTAGAAATAGAATTCAGGCATCTAAAGGGATGTGGCAGATAAGGTTACCAGAGGAATGTAAATAGAGCAAATAGAAGATTTGTGGATGTGAAGCATTTTCAGTGTTTGACTCTCTAGAATGCCAGAAAGTTGGGGACTGAAGAAAAATTTCACGGGAGCAAGAGTTTTCATTTGCAGGGGCAATGCCTTCCTTCACCCTTCACCCTTAAATAATGACACCCCTGTCCGTGTCCATAACCCTGATTCTATACTTTGTAAGTGCCACACCACTAATATATTGGGGAAGGGGTGGCTAGGAAAAGTAACTCTGATTTTTTTTAAAGCTAAGCCTGATCATACTCCTGATTTTACATTTAGGCTTACTTACTTCATGATGTTAACTTCATGCTTCATATGTTGTAGTAGAATTAGGACTTCCAAAGTTGCAATGCTCTGACTTTTTAATTAAGGGACAAGGATGTCAATGCCCCAACCACTGTCACTCAAATGTCTCTAAATTTCTCTTTTCTCTCTAAATTTAACTGCAATTTTTGGGGATGGAAAGAAGGGAAGGGAAGAATTTGTCTGGGAATAGCATTTGTCTTTAAAACACTTCCTTTAAAGTGGAACATGGAGAAGCACCATTTTTCACAGGGGACTCCAAAGAGTATTCTCAATTAAAGCAGGAAAATGTTAAAATGTTAAATCTCTATGCAGCGTACATGCTTCTGCATTTCAGTATGTGCAACTATCATTCAACATGGGAATATCACAGAAGCATACTACTAGGAAGCCAAATTTGACAACACATTTTCATGTTGCACACAATCCACAACTGTGGAATTTACTGCCACAAGATGTCTGCTAACTTAGATATATTTAGAAGAGGATTCCCATGGATTTCCCATGCATATTATTAAATTGAGTGACCATGTTTAGGAATAGTTGACCAGATGCATGGAATGGCTATCACCCTCATTCTACAATTTTGAGTTTCTTTAAGCATCCAGTTGGTCCTTGTCATGAACAGGGTACTGGGCAAATGGAACATGGGGTGACCCAGGAAAGGAACATGAGTTCCATGTACAGGGCCACAGTAGCACAGCAGGTTAAACCACTAGCTCCAGGAAATCTGCTGACTGGAAAGTCATCAGTTCGAAGCCGTGAGCTCCCAACTGTCAGCCCAGCTTCTGCCAACCTAGAAGTTCGAAAGCATGCAATGTGAGTAGATCAATAGGTACTACGTCGGCAGGATGTTAAAAGTGTGCCCCATGCAGAAATGCAGACATGCCAGCAACACAATCTGAGATGTCTATGCGCAACAGGCTCCTCAGCATGGAAAAATGGAACAAGAGCACCTCCCCATGGCCGGAATTGAGCATCACCTCCAGATGCCAGAGATGGAAAAAGGGAAAGGCCTTTACCTTTGTCTGTGTTGCATGTCGTTGTTCACTGTATGTAAAATGCATTGAATGTTTGTCCTATCTGTGTGTATTGTAATCCATTCTGAGTTCCTCCAGGGAGATAAAGCAGAATATAAAAATAAAGATTTTTATTATCATTATCATTATTATTATTATTATTATTATTATTATCATTCATGGGGAAATAGGTCCCAAGCATCCCTGAAAATGTGGATGAAAGACAACCTTTAATTTTTACTATTTTGGGGCCAGAGGCATACTATAAAACTGCATGGAGGACACAGAGAGGTCCACAAACACATGTAAGGGAAGGGTTTTTTTTTTTTTTTGTTGAAACATGAGTAAGTGATTCTGTGGATAAGGAGGTCATACTGTATATTCTTACAGGATACAAATTGGATTACAGTATTTCAAAAGTCTCATGTTCATTTGTTTTAGCCCGACTCTTTTGCCAACCTACATTGATGCTGCCTGTAGTTACTCAAATGCCGAAAAGACAAAGCAGTTGCTTTAAGTGTCTCTTGCAGAAAAAAAATGGCTTCAGGCTCCAACATGTATAAACAAGTTATATAACACCAAATTAATAGAAGCCAAACTGCATTTGTCAGTGTGGAACTATGGCTTCTGGCACACGCCAATGGTCAAGCCGAACTTCAGACATCTAGTGTTTAGTAAATCTGATATATAATTTAACAGACACCCCCACATTCCACACACATACAAAATCTGCTCTGAATGAAAAGTTTGCAAAACTTCAAAGTCCTATTTAAAATATACAGAGATGCTGTGGGGGGAGGGGGAAGCAGCAATTTGCTGGGAAGGGTTCAGCTTTCCTTTCTTTCTCATACATACTCTGGGAGCATCACATAGCTTCTCTTCCAAGCTCTCCCTTTCCTTCCACTGACTTCTTTCCCAGCTGATATTCCCCTCTATCACCATCTGCCACAATTGAGCTCTGGCACCCCCTCATCCCCCCTTTCTTCTCCCTCCCTTTCTCCTTTCCCCCTCCCTCCCTGCCTTGCTCTTTCTCTCCATCATAATCACTCTGTCACTCCCCCTCAATCCTTTCCCCTATTTTCTTCTCTTTCATCATTCATTCCCTCTCTTTTTCTCGGCTCATTCTCATCCCATTCCTCCTCCTCCTCCTCCTCCTCCCATTGCTTCCCTCGGAACCTCTCGCGATTGGCTGTTAGCGACATCCCCAAGAGTCATTTGACAGACAGCTTGATCTACCTAACCCTGGGAGACAAGACCCCCCCCCTTTTTTTTTTTCATTCAGCATTCAGCAGAATTGCTTTTGATTGAGGGAGGGGGAGTGTATCATCTCTGCCAGGCTTCCGCCAACAAATGCTGAAGGGTTGCTGCTGTCTTACCTGCAGTTGCACAGGAGAGCAGGTGGGATTGTATTCACAGCCGATGGGGGAGTGCAGGGGACCTGAGGAGAGAAGCCACCTCACCAGGAGGAACAGCAGAAGAATGAAAGGGAAATAACCAGGGCATCTCACAGCCTCAGGAGGGAGAAGGAGAGCATTCCAGTCCTGCAGTAAAGACCCTGTATTTCACAGACCACACAACTCACTTCTACCCTTTACTAAAAGAGGAAGAAACCAGGAGATGGAAAATCATTCCAAGGACTGAAGGCATTATCCTTGCTATGTAAGTATTGGACCAACTCACTGCCTCTTCTTAAATACCCTCCCAAATGTCCTTACATGCAAAAGTTTACTTTGGCAGCTTGTGGAAATGGCACTTCCTGGTGCATTAACCTCACCCCACATCTTAGAGAGTCATATTTTGGAAATCAACATCCAAAGAAACTGTGTTGGACAGAGATCAAGTGGGATGGCAGACCACATCAGGTGGCTTTACCTATAGATTCCTGGCTGTTTTGTCATTTGCCTGTGTTGTCCCTTGTCAATTTACTGCAGCGGCTACCTGTTGTCTTTCAGTTCACACTATAGCCCTTACGTTCAGCTGCAACTCTTTGCTCAGGGAAAGTTCTATCAACTTTCCTAGGACCCCAGTGGGATGACTGGGATATATATTGAGTTCTTTGGGATATAAGGAATTAATATGAAACTGGAATTCCTGGGCATTACTGCAATTCATCACAAAGACAGAAAAGGACAACTGCTGGTGTTTCCTAAACACTGCACAAGAAATTATGGGTTGTGGTGCCATTCAAATTTGGAAGATATAATTGCAGGTCATTTCAGATCCAGTCTCCTGGTGAATGTTATTCATTTGATTATCATTATCAGAATTTGGGAAAGGTTAATTTTGGATTACAAGTCCCAATCCTTAGCTAACATGACCACTGGGAAGAATTGCCTGAAAAAATAACTTTTCCAAGATGTGATCAGTATTAAATGCATGCCTACACATTGATCTTTTTTCATTCTGCCCTGTTGTTTCTTCTGCTTAGCAGTTTCCAAGGCATTCTAACATTTAATCTGAAGAGATTATTGGACCAAAGTATGTGTGGTGTATGTGTCTCTGTGTTTTTCTTCTAGCCTCATTGCCAGATAATTCTGAATAAACAAAGCAAGAGTTTTCTTTTCCTTTCTAGAAAAAGACCCAGAATTTTCACCATCCATTTCTTGCTCACTGCTACATTGACATAATGTTAAAGAGGGGTTTAATAAGAAAAAGAGGACATGACTTGCTTTGACCGGGTATACAAAATGGAAGCTGCAGGCACTTAAAATTCTTAAGAATGTGCCCATCGGAACCACTGATATCCAGTGCTGAACTCAGGTGCCATTGGCTTATGGGACACAGATATAATTTACTGTCCCAAAGAGCTGGCAGTATAAAGGCATGATGCTACAATAGGGAAGTATTACAAATCATAAAGGGTTCTGTGAAACAATTCGGATTTGTCTCATATTGGAACAATTTCCAGTGCCAATTCTTATCCACAGGAAAACACACAGGTGTTACTAGTTAGTTTTCGTAAATGAAAACAGTGCTTTCTTCCCCGCATCTCCTGCCTTGGTTGGTATTTAAGATATTGCCTTTTCCTGGCACTCAAGCCATGACATTTTGCCTTGGAACAAACGGCATTCTTCTTCTGTTAAATACCATCTGTTGCTATTGGAAGCAGCAGTTGTGGTGATAAATCTGAAAGTAGAGATCCTCATGAGACAGAATCTATAGAAATCCCTCTCCCATGAAACTTCAAAAAAATACAGGTGGTTGTGTTGATCTAAAGGATTTTTAAAGGTGTTTTGATTTATATCTGAGTTTTCTGGTTTATTTATTTTGTAAAGTTTGAGAAGTGTGGTTTCCATTTCTTTGTTCTCTTCTTCAGATGAAATGGCGCAGGTTGCTGGTTGTTGTTTTTAAGGAGCTTCCAGAATACAAGAGCAACACTCCATGGTCAGTATTATGATGGTAAAGTTATTCCTATCTGTTTCCACCTGTAGACTTCATGTTACAAAGTGAATCCAGAAGTAGAGCCAAATGTAGTCAGAAATGTATGCACAGTGAAGTGGTCCTCTGGGGATTTTATTTAAAGATAACAAGAGGCCCTTTCACATTCAATAGTTTTAGTGCTATGATTCAATTTTAACTCACTTGGATGAATGCTTTGGGATCCTGGGGTTTGGTGAGACATGAGAGGCGTTAAACACACCTTCCTGAACTATAAATCCCAGTATTCCACAGGATGAAATCATGGTGGTTGAATTAGAATTATAGTACAGTATAGTTTCGCTTATCCAACATAAACAGGCCAGCAGAATGTTGGATAAGCAAAAACATTGGATAATAAGGAGTGATTAAGGAAAACCTATTAAACATCAAATTACGTTATGATTTTAGAAATTAAGCACCAAAACATCAAGTTTTACATCAAATTGACAGAAAAAGCAGTTCAATACATGGTAATGTTATGTAGTAATTACTGTATTTACAAATTTAGCACCAAATATTGCAATGTATTGAAACAGCTGTGGATCCGGGAGGGAGGCAGACTGCGTTGGATAATACTGAATGTTGGATGAGTGAAGGTTGGATAAGCAAGACTCTACTGTACCATAATTATGTCATATAAATCATACACAAGAGATGGGAAATACTTTGAACTGTAGGGACATACACAAGTTTTCTCATAATCGTAAGAAAAGGTGACTCAACAGGTCAACATATAACTCATGGAACAGGTTCAGACAGTGTAGTCAACAAACTTGGTAACTGCCATGAAGATGTTCACTCCTATGTGAGAGTGAAAAGATCAGAGTGATAAGAGTCCTTTCCCCTTTTGGGGTTGGATTTCACTGAAAATATTTTGTACAAAAAAAATTGCCTAAAAAAGCAATGTTATGGGGTAAAATCATTTTATATTATTTAAAAGACAAGGTTCTTGGTAAGGAAAAACCTTCCTTTTCTGTGAAAATGCATTTATGTTTAACAGCCTTCACAATATTTTTGCAAAAAAAAGTGTTGGCATTTTAAAATCAAAAAAATTTATTGCAAAAACTCCCATAAGCCTCCCCAGTTGAGACATTTGTATAGTTTTCATTCTTGCAGACAACAAAGAAATTACAATTTCACAGTATTGGAAACAAAGATTTACTATGCTACATGTTCAAATACAGACATATTCTTCTAGAATAGAGACAGGATTTTTTTTCTAGTAAGGTAAAGGTACAGGTTTTCCACTGACATTAAGTCCAGTCGTGTCCAACTCTGGGGGTTGGTGCTCATCTCCATTTCTAAGCTGAAGAGCTGCCGTTGTCCGTAGACATCTCCAAGGTCATGTGGCCGGCATGACTGCATAGAGAACCGGAGCGTGCTCTATGCCGGAGCATACCTATTGATCTACTCACATTTGCATGTTTTTGAACTGCTAGGTTGGCAGAAGTTGGGGCTAACAACAGGAGCTCACCCCACTCCCCGGATTAGAACCTGCAGTCTTTCAGTTAGCAAGTTCAACAGCTGAGCAGTTTAATCCCTGCACTATTTAAAAATAACAATAAAGTAAATTCTTCTTAAATGGACTGAAATTTCAGTTCTACACTTGCAACAGCCAATTTCAATAGGTATGCCTAATCCTACAGTGAGATAGGTACATTGTCCTTGTATCAGTAAAAATGAAATCCCACTCAACCTTCCACCTCCAAAAGAGAAAACAGAATGGCAACCTTAAGTCACCACTAGCACTGTTAAAACCCAGCTTTTAAAAAATTAAGCACTCTGAAAAAAGCCCTGTATCTAAATAGATTAATTTGGATTATTTTCTTCCACATCTGTTTCTTTAGAAAGGAAATATTTATTTCCATACCAAATATGAAAAATATTGGTGAACATTTATTTATTTATTTCATACATTTCTATCCCACCCTTCTCCCCACAAGGGGGACTCGGGGCGGCCTTACATAAGCATCAGATGATGCTGTCAACATATACACCACAAGAATTACAATTAAAACAGTAAAAAAGCATTTTAAAACATTATAAAAATTCATTAATAAATTCATTTAACAGTAAATTAACATGCCAATAAAACTGAAACCAAGCCGGGAAAATCCAGTGTCTGGAATGTCCAAAATTTCCTTTCCAATTGCCACTATGAGCAACATGAGCAAATCCTTAACAAAATTGAGCCAAAGCAAACATCTGTCCCATCCCTTCTCCAGAAATGAGAAATAACTGGATAAGGTTTTTTCAAATTTATGTATGTATTTATTTATTTACAGTATTTATATTCCACCCTTCTCATTCCGCAGGGGACTCAGGGTGGATTACAATGCACATATACATAGCAAATTCAATGCTATTTAGACATACAACATATATAGACAGACACAGAGGCAATTTAATATTCTAGCCTTTCTGGCTTCGTGAGGGTATGTTCGATTCCAACCACAGGGGGAGCTGCCCCTTCACCATCCACTTGTAACACCGAGTCCTTGATTGAGTAATTCCTCATTCTTACGCATGCTGCTAGCAAGTTTTATGGTGTTGTAAGTTAGTTAACATAGCCTCCCCGCATAAATCAGTACCTAAATTTCCTACTTGACAGATGCAACTGTCTTTTGGCTGCATAGGTCGACAGCAAGCTAGACTATTAATGGTCAGGAGATTACTCTGGCCCAGACAGGCTTTGAACTCATGACCTCTTTGTCAGTAGTGATTTAATACAGCTGGCTACTAACTAACTGCACCACAGCCTGATCCTATCAATATCTAGCAATTTCTAAGTTATCACTTTATTCCTTAATTAGGTTTGCCATTGCTCTGATTTGACACCAAACTTATGAATATGACCTTGTGGAATTGTTGTGTGCCTTTACCCACTCAGTTTTCATGAGTGTAGGGAGATTTGGGACCTTATCAGATAAGTAGGGGTAAATTGGGGGACAACGGGGGAAATCATGGGACAGCAGAGGGAACTGTCAGGCCTTTTCCCCTTCCATCAGCATCTGTGTTCTTCGTTCCCACATCATTTCCTCATCTGTCCCTGCTCCCTCTTTGCCTCTTCTCTTCTCCAATGAGGAGCTGGGTAAACACCTGACTCCTCTGGGCTCTGTTGCCATGATGCTTCCAGCACGGAGCTAAACATTCCAGCAGCAGAGAGAAGTGGGGAGCAGACACTTCTCTCCCTGTGTCTGATAAGGTTCTTAAACACTACTGTACCAGAGTCTAAGGAGTTCATCCCATGCAATAAGTAACACGTTGGGGATCATTGTTTTTTCCCTTAAGCTTTGCAACACCCTATTTGGAAATTAAACAACTGATTTTCCTACACCCATCGCATGTTTTCCTTCATTCAGCTTTCTTTTCAAATTATCTTTTGCCTTCCCAACCTGGGAGACATTTTCTTCCCACAGTTTCCTCCACTGTTTTCTTTTACTTGAAGAAATCCTCTGTGTTTATGATTGCATAAGTATTTTTAACACTAGATCATTAAACAGGTTTTCTTCTATTCTGTATTATTCTATATTACAATATATAAGTACAGATATCTCTCAATTCAAAAGGTAACTATTGAATTTACATGGTTAAAAAAAGATATAAATCACTATTCCTTCCTCCTCAATTCTAAAGATTATGGTGGAAGAAAGGATTCTATACTGCCTCTCACTCTTCTCCTTCTACAATGATGTCATTGTTATCTTTACAAGCAGACAATGAGGACTTCCCATTACATGTTAAATTTCACATTTTTACACATGTCTATGGAGTGAATTGAAAAAGAAGTCATTTGCCAAGTGACTTAGGAAGCATAAGAAAAAAACACACACTTTAGGAACAGCAAAATACCTGGAACTCACAGTACAAGTGTTGGGCTCCGTAGGTAGACATTTCTTAAATGTGTAGAAACACTGATTTTATTACATATGATGAAGTCCCTAGTCCAATATTCAAAACACTACATCATACTAGCACATCCCTATGACATAGAATCAGCATTTTATACTAAAAGAGCATTGGACCTCCCTGCTACTAGAAGATGAGGGAGTTTTAACTTTAATTTAACTCACACCAGGGAGAATTGAAGAAATTTGTAGAAAACTCTAACCATTCATTGAATTTTGGCTTGTTCTTTATCCCCCTTTTCCCTCACTTTCAGTGGCTAAGGGGTATCTGACTTACTAATGGAATATACCCACTCTAAACGTTTATAGTAGTTTGATACAATAGAATAATACAGTTGGAAGAAACCATGAGGGCCATTCAATAAAATTCCTTGCCATACAGGAACACATAGTCAAAGCACCCCTGACAGATGGCTGTATTACTTTAGCCACTACAGCTCTACTTTCTTGGAAACCTGGGATTTGGTTTGGCGAGGCACTTGGATATCTCTACTAGAGCACTCCAATGCTTGATTCAAGGTGGATCAACTAAAGTTTTCTAGCAGAGATTGGTAAGTATCACTCCAAATTAGAAATTCCAAATTTCTATAGCATGAAGCTATGGCAGTTCAAGTGATATCAAACTACTATAATACAACCATGTTATCTTTTGACTAGAGACCCCCATCCCCTGCAACATCATCACATTCTGAGTCTGGATGGAAGTTAGGATAAAGTTAGGAAAAGACAACCACAAACTGAATAAGCTTCATAAACAAAGGGAGAAATAAAGAGATGGTACGATATCACAAGAAACAGATTTCTGGTATAAATGGTTACTTGCCTTATTTTACATTGTAGAGACCTGTGGGTCAGTGATACATTTGCATTGATTTAAACGTATTAATGTAAACTCTCAGGAGTTATCCTCTCTTCTCTTTCCCTTCATCCCCCCCTCCTTCCCTCTCTGCCTAGGAAAAACAACTCATTTAGCTGCTTGAGGTAGAGCTGCAAATAAATCTGTACCTCTCAAAACAAGGTACATAGCACTCAAATCCTGTCAATATCTTTAAGTAT